TTAATTTTAATTTTAAGAAGGGAAAATACATTTTCAATTTTGTCACGCACGGTTATTAAATATAAGGAAACATAAGAGTTTTGACAAAGTAGGCTTTTCGCGATATGACGACATTTGAGTGATTATTTAAAACAAATTAATTTTTAATTTTATTTCGCAATATTAACAATGTACTAAAACACCCACTAAAGGTGACTGATTCTCGGGTTTTCCCGATAAATATTATACGATTGTAATTCTTATATCATGATGTTTTTATTTTTTAAAATTTTTTCATTACTTTCAAACAACGATAAAATGCTTAAAATAGTTCCTTAGTCGATAGTTTAAATATATTTGTAATCTATAATAATATATATTTAATTTTTAACAAAATAAAAGCGGATTTAAAATATTTTTTGCGCACGTAAATGTATTCGATTTCCATAAAATAATAGAGAATAATCTGATTCTCTTTAGAAATCCTAACGTACTTTAATAGTATCTCCCTTTTGGAGTTATGTCACTCTGGCTCATTCTTATATATATAGCAATGTAATGTTAATAAGTCGAGATATATTTAAAAGTTGGTTTACAACTTAATTTTATCGCCTAATACTCCAGTCTCCAGCATGCTAATGGAAAAGATTTCAATTATGCAATACGTAACGCAACTTACCCTCTTTAAATTAATATATTATTTGGCAAAAAATTAATTTCATTTCATCTTTTTTTTACAAAGAAATGAACTCGGCATAATACAATTACCTTACATTTCTTTTGAACACTAAATTTTTATTTATTTCATAATTTTATATCTTTATCTTAAATGCAATCTTTATTTTTCTATTTTTAACAATTAAAACACATAGTGATCGTTCTAAATGTTAGCTTTAACACTAAAAAAAACAATTTAACTAACTAACAAAAACTAAGCAATTAACAAACAAACAAACGCAAATAACAATCAATATATAATGATCATTTTTTTTTAAAGGCAAACTTTTTATTATGGACAATTTTGATGGCATAAAATTACTTTAAGGTTTATCACCCGATTTTTAGATTTTCTAAATTTAATAATGCTCTGATTATATTCATGGAATTTAGCCAAACAATTTTATAATGATAATGTCATAATAAAATGTTTAAAAATGGTTATGATCTATACAGATATATACAGGTACAGATATAATGATAATAATAATAATAATAATAATAAGAGGTCTTATATAGTGCGGTATCCCAGCCTAGGGGTGGGCTCACCACGCTGTACATAAAAAAAATTATCAAAAGAGACATAATCATGACATTAAAATAAAATACATTTATGAAATAAAGAACAGCAATGTATATTCCTCCACCCCACTCAATAACTTTTACAAGGCAAACCATGGACGGCAGTCAGCAAGATCGTTTATCGGTCAGAGGAGGGGAATCAGTCAGGGTAGTATAATTTAAAAAGATATGTTTTGAGTGCAGTTTTGAAGGCCTGGGTGATTGGTATATTGCGTATGTGTAGTGGGATAGAATTCCATTGTTTGTGCGTGCAGAAAGAGAAAGATCGTTCGCCATATGTTTTAGTGTGTGTCTTGGGAACGGACAGATTACGCGTGTCTGCAGAGGAGCGAAGCTGTCGAAGGGATGAATTGACAGAAAGAAGTTCGATTAGATAAGAAGGGCAGGAATCCAAGAAAAAGTTGTGACAGAGAACAGACAACTTGTAGTCAATGCGTGCCTGTATAGGGAGGCAATGAAGGGAATGGAGTAGTGGAGTGACGTGATCCCGTTTTTTGCCTTTAACACTAACCTAGCAGCTGAGTTTTGAACTTTCTGAAGTTTTTCTATGCAGTGTTTTTGTGAACCTGACAGAAGAGAGTTGCATTAGTCACGACAAGAGAGAACAAGAGCACAGACTAGAATTTTTGTAGCGCTAACTGTTAGGTAGTGGCGTATGGAGCTGATCTGACGGATAGTTGTGTATGCTGAACGACAAATGTGAGATATGTGTTTATCGAGAGACATGTTGTCAGAAAGAATATAACCAAGATTCCTAGCAGAGGGTGTAAACCGTACGTCAGAGTTACCTACTTGAAATGAGGTGGGAAGAGTTGAGGTAGAGGATGATGTGTGATTGTGGATGAGGAGTGCTTCCGTTTTGTCATCATTAAGCTTCAACTTGCTGAGTGTCATACATGACTTGATATCATCAATGCACCCCCGCAAAGTCTGGACAGCGGATTAACAAGAGAAGGATGGGTATGCTTGTATAGCTGCGTGCCATCTGCAAATGACTGCAAATATGTACAGATAAAGTTAGTAGATGGAGGGATAACGATTAAATTTAATAGTATGTATTACAAAATGTGTTTTTTTTAAATAAATGCTATGTAAATGTAAATACTAACATATCCAAAAACAATTTTTATTATATATTTCAACTGAAACGTTTAAATTTCAAAATTTTAATAAAAAGTGTTGGAAAAAAAGTGTTGAGATTGTAAAATGAATGGTTTCATTATTGTTATTTCTCAGCAATGTTGTCAACACAATAGACAAATAAGACAAAAAAAACTATCAATATAGTTTTTTTTTCATTTTTGTTTCAATGTGTTTTATGTTTTATCCACCCTAATTTAATCATATTCATTATAGTTAAAGCATGGTAACCATCACATTCTTAAATTCACACAGATGGGACAATATATCAACATTTGTGTTTACTTATAAGTATATTACATTCTAATCAACATATTTATTGTTTTTAATTTTTGTTTTTACCAGTCTTTAATTTACTAAATAATTATATTTATATCTTGGTAATGTATACATCTAATAAAGAGGTGTATATTGTTATAAACATTTATATTCCTTTTTTTATTCTCTTTGTTATAAATTAAAATGATTAAAACTAATTTTCAAACAAATTAAATGAGTTCAACAACACCGTAAGATGAATTATTAAATCCATTTGCTAGTGCACCACTGTGCACGTGGTATGTTATAACCTTCTCAATAAATGGTGACAAATCTTTTGAAAGTATAAAAACAGCAGCTCCACTAGATCCTGGGCATGTGCATGTTGTATACATGTATTTAGTAGTTTCAGAGTCATAAGTCTCAGCCACTGTTTTATTTTTTATTATTTTTCCTATTGATACTTGTTTAGGACAGCCGTGTGGATGAGATAATATTATAGCCATATTTTGTAACTTATATTTATTTTGAAAATGTACATACTTGATCCGCAAATTCTTAATAATAGTCAAATGTATAGAAGCCAAATTAGCTTCACATGTGACGCATTTAAGATAACACGAATCACCCTCAATATCACAATCCACAACGTGCCATCCATCCAGTGTTACCAAAGGACTATCTTGTCCATCAAAAAATACACGTGTTGTTGTATGACGCGCTTCTAAATCATCAAAAACTACATGTGTTGCTGTTTTCATGTAAATATGAAAGAATACTTGACTTGGTGTATCGGAATGTTGACATCTATGGCAAGTGCATAATGGCTGCTGCACGTCTACTAGTTGACGAACAAACAAAATTAGTCCTGTACCAACACGCATTGCATCACTACCACGCTTATCGTAAAATGCATAGGTTGAATTTGTGTTAGGCACTATTTCAGGTCTCTCTGTGCTAGTCATTCGAACATCTACTCGAACTGTGAGATCAGCCAAAGATTTAATAAATTCAACCAAATCTTTACCTTGACATCCTTCGGGCAAATGGTAAATATTGAAATCATTGACAGGTACAAAGTTTGTGTGTCCGGGATTTTTTTTGCAACGAAAAAAATTTATTTGTTGATGTGCTTCCATTTTTGTAGGTTTCTGATATTGACCTAGATTTGATTAAAATAATTATTAGAATTTAATGTTCTTTATTTATTAAATGCCCAGTTACATTTCAATTACTTGGGTAGAAGTTACACGCTATAAAAAAATCGTTTGGTTATATACATCTGAATTAAAACACCCAAGTTCTTATACTTTGTGGTGCTTACATTGTAAATTCAAATATATATATATATATAGTTATAAACATTTTAAAAATTTAAACGCACTCAACGTTAAAGACTAAGAGCAGCATTTTAAAAACTTCTTGTAACGTGCTGAAGGAAGTTATAGTTTAACTTAAATTCATGATTCACTAAACTTGTTTACTTTTATACGTACTTGTTAGTAAAAGAAACCATTCGATCGCCAAGACAATTATTATTTATGATATACTATAAAGAAACGTTGTCTTACACACACATACACGTAAAAACTCACGAACACACACACACACGCACAAACAAAGTATGCCGTATCACCAACTAAATGTTAACCTCTAAAAGTTATATGTTATGGCAAAAAAGTATTGTTCTTAATATTTTAAAATACGTTTCAAAAGTTCATTTCGGGAAACTCTAATCTTGAGTTTGTTAAAATTTCCATGAGGGAAAAAAATTAAAACTTTTTTAGATTTTGAGACTTTTTAACTTTATTAATTAAATCAATTAAAGTTTTACAATTATATCAATTTTTTTAGAATGCATGTAATCAAAACACATATTTTTATGTTAGCCCCTAGATAAAGTAAGATAACGATATTTACAAATTGATGTTAATGGATATTTTGTATAGTTAGATCTAATATTCATATGATGAATTTAATGGTCAATTTAAAAAAAAAATTGGAGACTTTTTTTTTTTAAATTTTTGAAGACGAATCTGTTTTACTTTAGAAAAATGTAATAATGAAATTGGAATAAATTGTAATATTCTCAATAAAGTAAAATGAATAATAAAGTGGAGAAATGTTTACCTTTTTGCCGACGTCTTTGTTTTTCTTCGGAAAACTGTAATAATAAAATCCGAATAAATTTAATATTCTATTTTTATAAAATAAATAACTATTATGCATTGTTTTGCATAGTTGAATGTATAAAAAATATAAATACAAATTTTAAAAAAAAAACAGTTACAAACCGGTCTTTTGAATGTTGGATATGAAGTTGTTGCACTGAAATTAAGTCCTTCAGAAGTTACACCTGAATGACACGGGCAGTTAAGCAACTCAAATTTAGAGCCTCTGAGTGTGCATCTATCATTCATCAGTAATACAGGGCCACCACTACTGCCAGGACATGTAGTTGCAACGTATTGAAATGATTTTAAAGAAAGTAAATTACAGTGAAACGTACTTGAATTTTTACATTCTCCAAAACTGATGTGTTTAGGTTTGGCATGTGGATGAGATATGATCGCAACAATTTCTTCAACACTTCTTGGAAATTCTCTGTATAACACCTTACATCTTTCTAAATTTGCTTTTATTTCATTGGCTAATTCTTCATCGCACGTGACACATTCTACAACACAAGAGTCTTCCCTGACACTGCGATCATACAGAGAGACTCCGTACAAGTATTTAACATTTTTTCTATCATTATCGTTGTAATATAATTCAGCTGTCATTTTCTCTGCTTCACCTTCATCATAAACATTATGTGTAGCCGTTACAATATAAACTGAAAATGTTTTGATTAGTGTATTATTTTTGGATCGCCATATTTTACATCTAATACATCTACATGGATGTTTTGATTCGTGTACGTCATACACTACACAACCACTTCCAGTAAATAGATGCTCTGTTCCTCTATGTTTAAAAAATCTATACACTTGTGGCCGGTTGCTGCTGACACACTTTATAACTAACCGTACTGTAACGTTTGCTATCGCTGTTATATAATGTATTCTCTTTGTATTGGGAGTTAGATTCGCTTCTTTGCAATATTTTTCTGGATCTGATTGAAAGTCTTTCCATTGGATTAGTCCTTTATGTCCTTGTTTCTTTTGACACCTCAACCATTCTTCATCAATGCTTGCCTCACTCATCTCTGCTAATTCTTGATATTCTGGTATACCTAATATTAAATGCAAAATGAAGTTTAAACTTTTAAATAATTATTTTCTTCAATATTATAATAAAAATTGAAAGGTTTGAACAAAAAGTGTGGGATTGAGACAAAATAAAATATGTAAATGCATTATTACTATGTAAATAAAAAAAAATATTTAAAATCAACTCACCAGGCATTAGCTCCATCGCTTTATTGGGAATTTCCATGTTACTGTTAGCTGATTTTTAAGTAGGAACATGTCAAAAACGATAAAATATTAAACATAAATACAATTCTTTTAAATATGATACTTAGTTCAAATATCATATTTAATTTATTACTCAAAGTAACGATATATTTTGGTTAGATAAAATAACTGAATGAGTTTTTTTCAGATAAAAATAACATATTTATGTAAGGATTTAAAAAAAAATTAGGCATTTAGGCTAGTTATAATATATATATATATATATATATATCATATCATATATCATATATATATATATATAAAAGTGAAAGTTTGTCTGTGGCAGGATTTGTTTGTTCCACAAAGGCTTTTACAAGGATTGATGGATCTTGACCAAACTTGGCACATATATCCATCATGATCCAGAAGGAAATCTTAAGGGGTTATGAACTTTTTAATAACATTCTGTTTGGGGCCGTGGCCCAAAATATAGTTTTTTTTCCCAAATAAGGTATAAAAATATAATTAGAAACAAATACTCCCACACGAATGGATGGATCTTGACCAAACTTAGATCACATACTCTTTATTATCCATATTCAAATTCCGTAGGGTAATGAATTCATAATATCTATCCATCTGGGGACTGGCGCCACATTTCATTTTTTTTCTAATAAAAGCTATATAACTATTAATAGGCTTAGACAACACAATAGTTTGTATGTGAATTGATGGATATAGGCCTAGCGTAGTAGCCATACACTTTATTGAAATATTGAAATATTTCCGTATTGAAATATCGGTGGATTTAAAACTAATAACACCCATTCTAAAATTTTCCAGAAAGTTCGATAATTTTAAAAAGTTGTATCTATGACATTTTAAGTAGATTTTAATAGGACAAATTTTAAATTGTAACTTTATTTTTCATCCCTCTGATATTTGTAGGGCCCCATATCTCAGGCAAAACTAAATCGGTATAGTTATGGAACGGGCCCCCAATGCCCAGGAGTAACTTAAAAGACATAGGATTATAATTATAGCATTTGTTAAAGATGTGTATTGTATTCAAAAATACAATCAGGGACTGGAACCATCTTTCAAAAGGAATAGTTGAGGCGACAACACTAGACACATTTGTGTCTATTGCCTCAAGCCTTCAAACCCCTAGTGCATAATTTCCTCATCACCACCAGTAACAGAAACATGGCAAATCCCATCTACATGCATAGGAGCCAAAATGATCAATAAATTGATCGTGGGCCCTTAAGATATAGAAGAAGAAGAAGAATTTGAAAAGTAGTTTTTACACATGTTTCGAGCAGGTTATTAAAATTAATCTAGAATATTCCAGATATGTTACAAGGGGATATATAGTGGGATATAAGGGATTATTAAAATGTTAATTCTATTTATTTCTATACTGCCCAGGAGTTTACAGTTCTGCTAGGAGCACTGAGTAATTTTTTTTTTTATTCGGGATAGAAACCAAAGGGTTTCGGATCCCATCATAATCTTTAACCCAATGAGTTCACTCACCCACCACAAAATTGGATCCCACCAAGATCAGGATCCCACCAGAATCAGGCTCCCAACTTTGATTAAATTCACCGGGATCAGAGTCACACCGGAAACCTGAACTGCGCCGGGATCGATTTCAGAATGGGATTTGGGTACGACCAGGATTGGGTTTTTGTTATGTAGTACTGACTCCATTGCTAAATCCATATTTAAAATTACTTAAAAATCCCCAATTTAAACAAATTGTGGGATTGTTAGTGGATATTTTGAATCAATAACTTTATAACCAATAATAACTTGAGTGTTTTTGTGTTGATTTTGACCCACTATTTACTTTAATATACTCAGACTAAATTTGAGTACACGATACCATTTTTACGATACCAATAACCGAGCTAGTTACAATTTTTTCTTTAAAGTCAATTAATTTAGTGTGTTAACTAAGTTTAAGATTTAATAAAACGTATTGTTATATTTTGCCTGTGTCAAAATGGATTTTGATCTTGAAAACCAAACAGTGGAGTCATTAGACAAATTTTCTAAAATGTAACTATTTCCCATTGCTAAAGATTTAGGAATAAATGAAGCTTATTTGGCAGTAAAAAAGACCGTATGTGATAAGATCATCGTCCACTTATTAAATCAGTATGCATTATCTGAGGACGAACTGGCCTCAGTCACAAAACCGAATGATCCTAGTATGGAGCTCCAACTAAAACTTAAACAATTGGAGCTAAATGCTTAGAAAGAGAGAGATGAAAAAGAACGAAAGCTTAGACAAATGGAGCTAAATGCTCAAAGAGATAGAGATGAAAAAGAACTGGAGCGTAAACAAATTGAGCTAGTCCTACAGATAGATACAGAACGTAAGCTTAAGCAAATGGAGATTAGAGCTCCAAATAAAATTTAAAAAAATAAGATAACGGCCAATTAGGAAGCAATGGAAAATAGACTCACGGCGCCTGTCAGTCAGGGTTGCGATGCAATTAAATGTTCAAAAGTTATCCCAAAATTTGCAGAAAAAGAGGTGGACCAATATTTTGCACAGTTTGAAATAACTGCACAAAATTTTAAAATTCCTAAAATATATGGTCTACATTACTGCAACCAGCTTTGACCGGAAGGGCAGCCGAAGTTTTTGTGTCCTTGAACGCGGAACAGTACGGGGACGAAAACCTTATGAAATCCTTAATACTTAAGGCTTATGAAAATGTCCCCGAAGCTTACCGTAAAACGTTTAGGGAGCTGTGGAAGCGTGATGGCCAGACTCATGTTGAGTTCCTCCGGGAAAAAGAACGACTCCTGGACAAGTGGCTGCACGCAACGAACAATGACACAGACTTAAAAAATTCAAGAACCTCATTCTAATGGAGGAGTTTAATAATTATGTTCATACAGAGGTGCGAATACATATTGCAGACTGTGGCGAAGTTGATGCACATACGGCAGCAGTGTTAGCTCATGACTTCACCATGTCATATCAAGTCTCGAAGAAAAAGTCTGACACCAAAAATAACTGGCACAATAAGACAACAGCATCAACTTACAGAAAACCTCAACAAAAATCATACAAGCCTGGTACAAAAGAAACAAGTGCAAAATACAAATGTGCCTACTTTAAAAAAGGACAAACGAGGGATGACTGCTGGAAACGCAAAAAGAAACCTGAGAATCCACACATGCTGGTACAAAACGCAAAGTGTCCGCTTGTACGACTCGTCATACATCTGGAAACACATTTTCAAAATTTAAAAGTTTTTGCTCTCCAGATGTCCATACAAACTTGAAAGAGGTTAGTCACGACTTATCAAAGAGTTTAAATATGAAAAACACGGCTAGTTTTGCTGACTCCAGCCAAGTTTCTGCTTCGACTGAGAGTTTTATAGCTTGTCGCCAAGATCATTTTGCTACATGAAGAGGTCTACCTCCAGAGGGCGTCTTACTGTGGACTTGTGTTTACGTTTTGACGACTCTACAGAGAGTTTTACTTCCTCTATCCTAGGCGAGTGTTCTCAAGACCCCAACAAGTGTTTACCTACCAAGGTCCAAACTTCTACATCAGACACTAGTGGTGTCATAGAAGACTTTATGCCTTTCATATCGGAGGGATTCGTATCACTGCCAGGTGATTTTTCCTATCTACGATCAATAAAAATCAAATGTGATATATGTGCTTCCATGTCCTTGCTACTTGAGGGTATACTACCTTTGTCTGAATCTAATACTACTGGGATCAACATCCTGTTACGAAGTGTAGAGCTGGATGCATAGATGTACCTTTACATCTAATCAACCTAAAATCAGACCTAGTCTCCGGAACTGTGGTTGTGGGTGTCCGACCAACATTACCATTGGACGGCATCTCGTTGCTGCTAGGCAATGACTTAGCTGGTGGGATGGTAATAGTCGAAACCATCGTTACTCATGAACCTTGTTTTACTAAATATCAGGAAGAAGATCAAGAATTGTATCCAGCATGTGCTGTCCCAAGGGCCATGAATTCTAAGATACCAAAGACGAGATTTCACAAAAAAGCAATAAATCTTTCCTAAAATTGACCTGTGAAAAACATTTTTTGCCAGTCTAAAGGAAGAGTCAAGTAATCACAAGACTCAAACTCGAATGCAACTTATTGAAGAGCAAAAGAGTGATTCAGAGATATTCAAACTTCGAGAGAGCACATTGACCCAAGAACAAGCTGAACCATTCCCTGTATGTTTCTACATTCAAGATGACATACGTATGCAAAAATGCTGAAGGATAATGGATAGTTCATCAGATAGAAGTTCCTTGACCATTCCGGAACGAACTCCTGAACTTAGCGTATGATTCATCACTTTTAAGCCATTTTGGGAGTAAACAAGACATATCACAAAATCACATCGCACTTCTTTTGGCCAAAAATCAAGAAAGATGTGGTTGAATACTGCAGATCATGTCAAACTGGTCAGGTGGTAGAGAAATCAAATTAGAAGATACCAGCAGCTCCTCTTCAACCCATACCAGCATTCGAAGAACCTTTCAGTCGCTTGATTATAAACTGCGTTGGACTTCTGCCATAGACAAAATCACGTCACCAATACTTGCTAACAATCATGTGTAAATCAACAGGGTTCCCAGGATCTATTCATCTTCGCAATATCAAGACTCCATCATCCTCAAAGCCTTGATAAAGTTTTTTTACATTGTTTTGTCTTCCGAAGTCAGTCTGTACAGACTGACCAAGGAACTAATTTCAAGGCTGGACTATTCAAACACATGATGAACCAATTGGGCATAGAACACTGCTTGACGAGTGCATATCATCCTGAATCACATGGAGCACTCGAGCGATTCAATCAGACATTGAAGAACATGATGAGAACGTTACCTGGAACAAGAGAAAGACTGGGATGAAGGAATCAACATGCCACTTTTCGCTGCAAGAGAAGCAGTTCAAGAATCACTTGGATTCAGCCCATTTGAACTGGTGTTTGGCCACACGGTTCGAAGTCTCCTTAAACTTTTAAAAAACAATCGGACGTCATCGACACCCACAGAAGGACTTCTTGACTATGTCTTAAAATTTAAAACTAAACTTTATAATGCCGTTAATTTGGCTAAATCACATTTAAAAATTCACAATCTAAAATGAAAATTTGGTACGACAAAAAAGCAAAATTCAGACAGTTTGCTTCAGGGGACAAAGTGCTTGTGCTTTTGCCGATACCAGTGAAAGCTCTACAAGCTAGATATTTTGTTCCTCATGTAGTTGAGGCCAAAATTAATGATTTAAATTAAATTGTTTTGACACCAGATCGTAAAAGAAAGAAACAGTTATGTCACATTAATAGGTTAAAAGAAAATGTTGATAGAAAAAGTGATGATCATTGTCCATTCTCAGAAACTAATGTTCACACAATTTAAACTGTAACTTCACAACCTAAAGAAAATTTTGCTGAAACCTTTGATAATGTCCCAGAAAAAGTTGGCAATTATAAATTTAAAAATTCAGAAATACTTGCAAACTTAGATAATAAACTAGGACAATTGTCATTGTCAGAGAAGGATGTTGTTAAGTCTGTTATTGCAGATTTTGTTTTACTCTTCCCTGATGTGCCTATTAAAACCAACATTGCTGTACATGATGTTGACATTGGCAATGCAGTTCCGGTCAAGCAACACCCCCTATAGGGTCAATCCTGAAAAACTTGAAATACTCCGGTCTGAAATAAAATACAAGCTTGAAAATGATATCATTAAACCAAGCTCTAGTAACTGGAGTTCACCATGTATTTTAGTCCCAAAGCCTGACAAAATTTACAGGTTTTGCACTGACTTTAAGAAAGTGAATGCAGTTAAAAAGTGTGATTCCTTTCCGATTCCAAGGATAAACGATCTTATAGATCGAAAAGATGATGTCAAATATGTGACCAAGAGAGACATAGCATCAGGTCATTGGCTGGCCCCTCTATCTCCCTTAGTATGCCCACCCCAGTGGCCAATCACGAAAGAATGGGGTGTTAAAGACACGATTTTCTTTCCGTCTAATGTTAAACAAACCACTAGTTTTATAAGTGCAAAATGCATCTTTCAAAGGAGATAATCTCTACTGCATAAAAGCGATTTTAAAATTTAATTGACTTGTTAAATCTATTTCTTAACTTATTTAAATGAGTCATAAAAATTAAACATTTTGTCATCTTGGGTTTTATATGTGTAAATAATAACGAATTAAACGTATATTTAGCATTATATTTGCATAGAATAGTAGGCATATATGAAATGACAATACTCACCTATCCCTTCAAACTTAGTTGCATTCAGTAAAACTGCATCACACCTGTGAGTCGAACTCATTCGGTTGGTAACGTGCGTCATTTGCAGAAATCCCGATTATTTGTCAGAAAGGCGACAAAGAATATACTACACCTGTGATTCTCAATATTGAATTTTGTAACACTATGGACATGAAACAATCAATAAGAATATTCACAGAGAAGTAATAAAAAATGTATACCTTCACGTATATTGCGTCTAAATAAACTAAAACGAAGTATCAACAATAATTTTAATTGAAGGTGAATTACAAATATTATTATATAAACAAGTTTCCGTTCGATTTAACTTCCGTTCGATGAAATTTTCGTTCGACCAAACTTCCGTTCGATCAAATTTCCGTTTAACCAAACTACCGTCGGTCAATTTTCCGTCGGCAATATTTATGTTGACGAAATTTCCGGTAACCCTTAATATCTGAAGGGGAACATTTTTATCGCAAATCTGGTTACAAAATTTAAAAAAAAAATGTTTTTATGGTAATGACAAGTTTTGTCAGTTAAATGTTGTATAAAAAAAAGATTATAATTTGTATAGTTTTTTTCTTTTCGGGGGAGTAGGGGAAGTAAGGGTTGGGGGTTTCGTGATGGTTGGAGGAGAATAAAAATCAATTAGAACAGGTAATGACTCGAAGTACATAGGTGTCACCATCAATAAAAAGGTTAAGTTGCATGAGCACAGTCAATTGTAATTTTAATAGTTAAAAAATATTGAACAATTAAAAATAAATATTATTGCTTTAGGCCAAAGAAAAAAAAAAGTTAATTATTCTGCAGGAGCTATTGGACCCTATTGAACTTACTACCTTCTAGTGAAGGAATTAAAGGTTTCTCATCATCAAACACAAACATTACCTAAAAATCTGACAGCCTAAAATTAGCTTATATTTATCTCAAATGCTGTAAAATTAAAATTCAATTTTGGCGTATTTCATCACAAATGAACTCGCTAGATATCACTTAAATACAACTCAGTAGTAGCAGTATGACAGTATTATTTCATCTACCATATGTTCAACGTGCGCGTGGCGGCCCCCTCCCTCCTGGTACCTCAGTGGTTGCTAAAATGTTTCGATTTCCGGTGACTTTGCCTAATTTAGGTCTACACCAGACATCCTTTGTTAAACTCTAATAACTACAATTTGAAATAGTGAATAAAGACACATACTAAAATAAAGTGTTAGGTAAAATTAAATAAAAAATTAATGAAGGTGACAGAGCGTCAACTAGGAACTATCATTAGTAGCTACTCAGGTGCTTTTTTTGTCACATTGGATTACAAGTGGAAATAAAATTATAAAAAGTTTCATATTTTACGGCGTCCCTGTCAGGAAGTCAAAGAAACCCAGGACAAGATCATGCCGAGACAACCCAGGACAAGATCATGCCGAGACAAAACAGAACAAGATCATGCCGAGACAACCCAGGACAAGATCATGCCGAGACAACCCAGGACAAGATCATGCCGAGACAACCCAGGACAAGATCATGCCGAGACAACCCAGGACAAGATCATGCGAGGAAATGTGGCACCTGGGGCAAAGCCAGAAAGTGGCGCCAATTAATATAATATTTAAAAAAATGCTCCCCAACGGGGATCAGTAAACTCTCGATTTTTGCGCAATATATAATTTCTGAAATATATGGAACTTTATATTTTAATATACTATTAATATTCTTTCTAAAGATGATTTTGGCACCCATAGCGTTGGCACCCGGTGTGCTCTATTATTATGGCACTACTAAAGGCCAAACTAGCTCTCAAAGCGACGTTGCGTTTATTAGGGAACCGCTGGGCTGGCCAGACAGTCAACGGTGTAAACACGTGTTACAATTATTTTAATTTTTTTTTCTGTGACGTCACATCTATTTATAAATTATATGGGTTTTTTGTTTTTTGAAATTAGTATGACTCATTTTTAAATAGAAAAATTTAACCGACTTGAAGAGGGCACTCCTCAGAACGGCGGTTTCAAATTAAAATAGAATTCTACACTATTGGTTAGAAATTGTCCTGCTACCAGCCTAATAGCCACCGATAATTTTTTACATCATTAAATGGCTTCGTTTTTTTTAAAAGGTTGAGGTCTTCATCATCTCTTGAATTAAATTTTTAAAAAATAAGAAGAAGAGAATTAAAAATGCCAGAGAGAACCAAACTTTATCCCTGTTAAATTTCTGTTCTAAATTAGGCTACAGCAAGCTAAACTAACCAACAAATCATCCAGTTTCAGTGTGTCATAATATTACAATATAATATACGTTTGTAGAAAGTTTCCTGGCAAAACTGGCTTGCGGTCTGCCGGCCATGGCATTGTTTACTTCATATTATTACAATTTTAAGCAATGATTAGTCTGTAGTCTGCAAACAAATTTCGAAGTAAAGAAATGTGTCACAAATATTGGCGGCCTTCTATTAGGCTGGTAGCCGGACACTTTCTAAAGAAAATTATTATATTTTTAATTTTGAATTCCGCTCAGAGGAGTGCCGTCTCATGTGAATACACATTAGGAGAAAAAAAAATTGAAATTAAAATTTCGCAATTTTTATTTTGTTCTTATTATGAATTGTTGCTGTTAATAAAGTTATTCCTTTTATTTTTTGTTTGTCACTATAGGCCCTACACTCACATAAACAACATCACTGACATTGACATACGATATATATACATTATATATGAAATTCATGACATAACATTATAATTTGGTTACCAAAAACATAATGATGCTGATAATATTTTTAATTTCTCATGTTAACAGGACACTTTTGTTAGAATAAGTCATATTTTAGCACCCAAAGAATTTGATTTCCCGATGTCAAATATCAGACAAAGAAAACAAGACCTTGTAGGGAGAATCTCACAGTAGGGAATTCCTTTGAAAGTTAATGGGAAAACCCAGATTTTGTAATGCATTTGCCAGTACACAGTATATCGGATATTCCTATAGTATAGTCCTTTTTCAAACAGAGTAAACAAATAAATTTTTTTCACATATTATTATCCTACTTGTACTACCATTTGTAACATTTCCATTTTAATGATTATTATTTTAACATTTGAAATTGTGACAATTATTTAATATTTTACAAGCTCAAAAGCTTTACCAATCCAATTACATAAATAAATACTTTTAAATATTAAATACATTCTGATTCTCATTCTAAATTGTATTGTGGATCTATGATGGCGAATGTCGATAAGGACATGCCTGTGTTATCAAATGAAGGTACGTCACATTATTTATTTATTTATTTATTTATTTAGGCATTTTTATATAGCGCTTATCATAAAGCTCTAAGCGCTTTACAATTATTAAAACATGTAAACTAAGTAAATACAAATGAGACACTAGGATAGTAACTACTATTCTATAGAAACAATTTCAGGATTAAACCGAAACAGAAAATTAGGTAGGGCAAGGAGGGTGCATCACAGGTCATAGGCGGACCTAAACAGATGAGTTTTAAGGGACTTTTTGAAAATGGACGAGGTTTCACTATGACGTATATCATATACTATATGGAAGGGGAGCTGGTTCCAGAACGTGGGCCCATGGAAGCAGAAGGAGCGTTCACCGATGGTCTTAGTTTTAGTTCATTATAACATTATAAGAGTTAGCTTCATTATAATTGGTAACGGTTATTTTTTTTTATTTTTATTTATTTGATCACAAATTAAGGGTTATTGAACCCTTTCCGGTCGACTCCGACGGGGTGGGGAGGGGGGGGGGTGCATAATAGTTCTGACCGAAAGTTAACTTTTTCTAATCCATATTTTTTAATGCTTAGTAAAGCAGAAAGGAATTGATAATGATAAACAATTCAAAATGGGTCTACGATCGGATTACAATTTACCGCATCTGAAGTTGAAAAAAATGATTTTTTGAAGACAATTCATCGGTGATTATAGGAAGTTAGGGCTGAATACTAGACTAGAAGGTAATGACAGTGATTTTTACCTAATAAAAGCATCTAAAGCAGATATTTTTTTATCTGAATGATGGCATTCGGCATTAGTATCAGTAGTCATTTATTGTCATTAGTGACTCATTCATTTATCATTAGTCATTACTTGTCATTAGTCATTCATTGATGATTTTTGATATTCATATTTCATATGACATTATCATCATTATGATTATCACTTATCATTATGATTATACATTCATTATTCAATTATTTATTGGCTGTTTCAGATTTAGCGGCCCACATTGACTTTGTTAGTTAAGGCAGGCATAGGGATGAATTTAATTATAATTATAATATTGTTGGAATAACTCTGTTAATTGAGTAATAACTAATAAACAGGAAAATATAAAAATAAAAGTGACTAAAATTAAATTGGGCAGAGAGTTGGGAGAGATGTTTTAAAAAAGAGCAGTAAATTGAAGTTTTTTATGGAATTAATAATTAATGGGTAATCGACCACTTGAGCGTGGGCCAAGAAAAACTCCAGCTGTTCTGGTTGGAAGGGCTATTTAACTCTTTCGATGCGGAACAACGCACTCTGCGTTCTTCCGCCGTTCTCAAAAGCACGGACGAACGCGCTGTGCGTTGTTTCAATATCATGTTTCTTTCTTTGCTATTTCTCGGTTAAACTTTTTAAGAGCTATTTTTAAATAAGACTTTTACATAGAAGAGTGGTACTTCATTGTTTACAATCAAAACCAAGGCTTATTTATTGTCAATGGAAGCATTATTTTGACGATTTTCTTCACGTTTCTTTTTTTTACTGTTGCTATGGCTACCCTAGGCTCTAGTAGGTAAGTTTCCTAGACGATTAACAGTTAAAAAAGCTTTGAAATTGTTTTATAATATTTATTTTGTCAGCGAAGATGATTTATATTTAAATGCATCGCATGATTCCGATGGTAGTAGTTTTAGAGGAATTGAGTTATAGAATTGAAGATGAGGTATGCGTACATCGTTGGGTTTAGGGAAAAATGTTTTAGCAAAAATGTTTTCACATTTTATGGTTCGTGTAATTTATTTTTTTTAAACTGTAGAAACTAGTGTGCAAATATATAGTCCTTTCAATTACCTTTCATTTGATACTAAGTTTAGTCTTATAAACCAAAGAATAATATTTTAAATATTTTTTAATAAAACCCAATCTCTCACTCTTTTTCCGCTCTTCGAAAAAAATGTACATTTTTTCGATGAAAAAATTCCGCAGCGAAAGAGTTAAACAACTATTCTTATATTATTTTTAATGACACTGGTTGTACGTATTCATTCCCATAATAATAGACAATTTTTTAAAATAGAAAAACTATAACATTTTTTTTTTAAATAGAAGATAATGAGTGAAAATGGAATTATGCATAGTTCTCCCCCAAGTTGACAATGAAGTTTTAAAAAATATAATTTCCACGAAAACGGTTGTGGTACATGAATCCACGTAAATATGAAGGGGAAAGATCACCGGCGCTTCTTGTGCCAAACTGTCTTTCCAGTAATTGCTTTCTGAGCATTCACGTTTTCCACATTCTGTGTGTGGACATCCGCGTCATCTGGATAAAAAAAAAATAATTGTTGTCTCTTTTTCTTCCTGGCATATCGGTAGCTTGGCAGTAATAATTATTTAAATGTATTAGTACTGTGCTATATAACTAACCCTATACGAAGCAAAAATATTAATAGACTCCAATGTAAGAATAGTTGTTGAAATAGCCCTTCCAACCTGAACAACTGGATTTTTTCTTTGCCGACGCTCAAGTGGTAGATTACAGAATTAATGATACTGATACATTAATAAAAATGAAGTTAACGATAACAAACCATATTGTAACCATTTTGTTTTTCCCTTTGAAATAATTAAATATTAAATTCAAACTGTAAATATTTTAAAATAACAGAACACACATCTTTCTTTAAGTACACAAGCTTTAATAAGCAAAATTTAAATCCATATAGTGAAAAAAAAGGTTAAAAAGTTAAAACTAATTATGACTTAAATTTAACAAAATGGGGGCAATAAGTAGGTATTCCTACTCAAATTTGTAAATACATCTTTCACACACAAGGAGCATATCATTGGACATTCAAAAGAGCTGGCTTTAAGCTTTCCAATGACACCAAGATGATCTTTGTATCATTTATAGGAAAACAGTTATGAATTTTTTAGTGATTTATTTTTTCCCCACAATTCGGCTTTGTATTTAATTTTTAAAACTGTGATCGAATTATTACTCTGTTTGTAATATTTTATTTCTATCCTTTTGGCTATTTAAATTAGACCCCTCAAATTTGGAGGAGACATGAACAATATAATGTTTAACAAAACGAAACACATGAATTATGAATTAACTTTTTTTTTTTTTTAATATACTTTAGGAGCATATGGCGTGGATAACGTCAAGTGTCGAAAAATTTAATTTTACAAAAAAAAGACATAATTATTAAACAAAAAGAGCTATTGCTATAAAATTTTCAAATCAAACAGATAATGTACATCTAAAAGTAAGGCAAATTTAAAATAAATAAAATGCAGATCAGAAACATTTATGAAATATAAGAAAAATTATTTTTAAAAAAAGCAGCCACTGCCGAGAAATTTTTACATTTAAATGCATAACTTTTAAAATAATAAAGCTATTGCAATGAAATTTTCAGTACAAATAGATAGTGACAATTTAAAGGTAATGGAATTACAAATATTAAATAAGCTCCTGCCTGTTCAATGGATATATTTTCACATAGGTTTTAGGCAATTCTTATAGGGCCACTCCATGGCTTCAATATCGGCTTCTACTGGGATTTCTGTGCATTTAACATGGTACCAAATGTCACAGCACACCCATTCTTCTCCTCATCCTCCATGCACACCATATTTAAGGCACACAGTGTTGTCATGGTCCTCATCAATGTCACTATCATCTCCATCTGGAAGATTTGTTCTTTTTCTCATGGTCTTTTTTCTTGGAGCTTTATCTTTTTTTGCTGCATCTTCTCTCAGTCGCTTCAAACATGCATCAATGGCATCCTTTTGTAAGGGGTGTTCTGTTTTTCTTGGGACCACTTTCTGATGGCGTCGCATGAAGCCACTCAATCAGTCCCTACGGCTACTAGGTCGACCATTCTCAAAAGGTATTTCAAGATAATTTTCCTTCACAAATTCTTGAATGATGTCTTTTAACTCCTCTTTACTGAAACCTCAGCCCACTCGGCCAACACAATAAGGCAGTCTGCCAGTTGTTCTTCTTGATCAGGCGTCAAAGCAGTTTACCTCCCTTGATGAGAATTTACTGGTATTTGACCTTGTACTCTCCTTAAAAAACCCTTTTTAGAAACTCCAAAATGCTTGGATGCCTGGTTGGCAGACATCTGCTTACCCATGACAGAATTGTATGCATCTGTCATTGTCTGGCTAGTTGCATAGGACTTCCTGCCTCCTTCCTCTTTCTTTTTTTGGTCCGAACCATTCTGCAAAATTAAGGGGGCAATAAGTTTCATTATCAAAACTGTATTAAAAAATTTTGTTTATCCTATTTCTATAAATTTATAACTTTTGTTTTCAATTTCAACTATATCAGTGTAATTTTTATTCAATTAAAACATGGATTTTATTCAAAATATTAAACTGATCAATATATTTGGTTGTTTTAATAACCTTTTTAACAGTTGGGGTATTTAGCCCCTGCTAATTAAAATATTTCTTTTTATAAACTAAATAAAAAATCTATAGAACCTAATTTCTCTTACAAATGCTTTCTATTCAAAATATTGAAAGGAACTTAGGTATAAAGTATAAAGTGAATAAAGCTTTTTATAAACAATCTCTAAATCATTCATCCAACAGCCATTTTACTTTGCAAAAATGGTCAGCTTCATTTGCTCTACAAATATCAGTATTTTAACTCATACATTAACCACACTCATAGTTAAAAGCTAAAAAAAAATATTTACTTAGTTTAGCTGTACTTGAAAAGCACTCATCTTATAAGGCAAATTAAAAATCAATACCCTAGGTTAGAAACCTAAGAATGGTTGTGAAAAGGTCTCTGAATGGTTAGTAAGTCTCTATCAAGTAAAACTTAATGCCTTTCTCTCTTCTTACAATAATATCAAGCATTTTATTTTAAGAACTGAGCAACTGGCGTTTAATACTCCATAGAGCATATTACCCTTTTTACCCTATACATCAGTGATTGTCATAACGTTAGCCAAACAGACATCATATAATAAATACTGTGGTACGCAAGATGAGCTCATTAATATTCAAAATGCCGGTATATTTCATATGTCATATTTGAATATCAACACAACATGAAAAATGTTCTCCAAAATTTAGGGCCTTGTATATCACATTGTTTGTATTGATAAGGGGAACAATAATAGGTAGCATTTGGAAGGCTGAACCTATGTGTCCATTTAAAATGTGTCTCAGATAGCATAGCAAAATAAATGTATGAATTTAAATTATAAAAAATCAGAATATAGTAGGAGTGGCACTCCTTAGAACGGCGGTCCCATATTATATCTACAGAAATAAAAATTAAAAATTAATTTTTACCTCATGGAAAAACATTAAAACACTTCAGTTGCTACTTAACATGTATTTATTGCTTATGACCATACACGGCACTCCTCAGAATGGCATCCCACATTAAAATGACAATACATTTCGTTAGAAAGTGGACAGGACTTGAGAGAGGGTGGTCCCTTGGCCCCAGTGTAGCTGATGCCCTAAATCTAACTTAATGGTCTATTAATTTACATAACTTTAAAACTGTATGAATATTGCTTTTGGTCTGAGATTGGCAAAAAATCGGGCCACACATTGGCTAAATCTACCAAAACAACCTAAGTGCTTGACTGACTTTTTAAATACATTTTTTATATTAAAATTTCACCTTAAAACCACTGAAAATACACGACAAAACAATGGGAAAACAATAAGTACATGTTATATAATTTAATTGGCATTCAGTTTAAAGGAATTTTTTGTTTGTCATTTGTAAGCACTATCAAATTAATTAAATTGCTGAAAGTAATTAATACCTGGATGGTAAGACTACATAAAAACAAGGTGACTGGAAATGCTGGAAAGTGCTATACATTGTTTACTTATGTGTTTTCTCAATTAAAAGTTCCTGTTTCATCATATTTTTTTACATGATTTTTTTTCCTTGCTTCATTATTCTTAAAGTGTTGTTTTACAGATAACTCAATCTAGGATATGATATTTTATATAAGTACGTGATATTTGGTTTTAACATAAACACTGTGCACTTATTTCTCCTATATTAGCTCCCATACCTACTCATAATCGGCAATCATTATTCAGCAATTTTTCAAGTAAATTTAAATTTCTTACATTTTTGTTTGTCTTTTTACATTCTAGGTCTTTTTACAGAAATGTTTGCGGTTTTGTTGCGTCTTTTTTTCCCAATGTTCCCCTGCCCTTAGTTTTCTTTTTTCTATTATTTTAGTGTCATGAAGCATAGTCTACTTAAAACACATAACTATTATTTCATCACCAGAAGCAACATCAGCTGGTATAAAATGTCTTGTGGAGCTTCCTAATGATGTCCAAAAGAGAAATATATTTGAACATTTTATGGCATATGAGGTAAGGTACGGTATCTATATATAGATATATATAGATAATCCCTTATTTTAACGCAAATTATAGTGAGATATCCGCAGGCCACCAATTATTCTGAAATAATGCAACCATTTTAAAATATTCTGTTTTTGGCCGGGGGCCCTAAATTCTTTCTTTTCTAAAATGAGCTATATAAATATAATTTTAAAAAGAGGTGATGGATGGGTGGATGGAGTTTTAATCAAATAAAAAAGCGACATTGCAGTTTGTTTGTTACATAATTAGTAGGTTTCTGAATAAGTACAACCATTTTACAATATTCTGTTTGTGGCCAGGGGCCCTACAGTTGTTTTTTCCTAATATGAGCTATATTAATATAATTTTCTCATACTTTCCGATACCAGGCATCTGATTGAGATAAAACTTTACATAATTAGTAGGTTTCTGAATTAGTACAACCATTTAACAATATACCGTTTGGTGCCTGGGACCATAAATGTTGTTTTTTTTCACTATATCCGCTATAGAAATATAATTTCAAACAGAGCTATTGCATGAGTGGATAAATCGCTACAAGTGTGTGGACTAAATTTTGAAAATCCATGATTCTCCCATGGACATCTGTACATGGCCTGATTACCCATCCAAAAACGTTCTGGTATATTCGTGTATACACCAGACAGAAAAACAACAAATATTGTGCATGTTTAAAGTACTTCAAAAACATAATTAAATCACTAACACTTTCTTTCTTTGAGTGTCATTGCAACTCATGCTTGGTACTCGCTAGTAAATATGTTATGCAGTGGCTTTGGTAGTGATAAAGATAATATGTTTGCACTGCTCACGATGAACTGGATATGTTGCTTCACATTTATAAGTCAAACAAATCAATATGGGAAAGTGAATTTTTTATTAATTAGTAATAGTGATTCTATGATTTGATATGATAAGATGAGCTTTTTTTAATCGATCCAATTAAATAAATCTTTATTTTGATTACATGTAAATAATAATGTTCAGAATATGGATGCAAATCATTCCTTATAATAAATAGTGCATTTTTGTGTCATTTGTGTTACTAAGTTGGTATTTGTTCATAGGTGTGACTATGTTGGTAATTGTTCATAGTTGCTACTATGTTGGTAATTGTTCTTAGGTGTTACTATGTTGGTAATTTTTCTTAGGTGTTAGTATGTTGGTAATTGTTTATAGGTGTGACTATGTTGGTTATTGTTCATAGGTGCTACTATATTGATAATTGTTCTTAGGTGTTACTATGTTGGTTATTGTTCAGAGATATTACTAGGTTAGTAATTGTTCATAGGTGTTACTAAGTTGGTAATTTGGAAAGATTTGTAAATTTTTTTGATACACCTGTAGTGTTAGGGAAATGGTGTAGCATGGAAAAGACGTTATTTTAAAAAAAAATATGTTTTTTTGTCAATGGGAAATGTGTGCATCAGGAGATCCTCTTCGAGGGTTTTCCTTAAACTAAGATGAATTAAACAAATGTGATTTTTTTTACTGTGGCTTGGTCATTCATAAATATTTTATTAAATTTTTCATTTGGTTCACAAAATGCAAGTCCATCCTGTGCAGGGGGCGTCAGATAGATTATCTCATTCATGAGAACATTGTGTTGAGTGTGAACTTTACTTGAAATCTGAACATTGTAAAATGTATCATTAAATAATATTAATTCCTAGACCAAGGTGAACAACCTTTTCCCAAGAAGTCTTCGTGAATAAGCTGATCTTAGGGATCCGTAATGAAGAGTATGGGATGTATATATCCTCAAATTCTTTTTATTTTATTAATGTATTATGCTTGAAGGAGATCTTCAAGAGAAGATATTTTGTCTGTGTCATATTACTTACAGGCTTTATTAAAAATGTTGTTTAGAAACATTAATGTCTGCACCAGCAGGTAATAATGAAGCTCAGCTGACATACAAATGTTTTAGCATGGAATATTTTACAATTTATTTGTTAACATGCAAATTGTATTATGTTTTAAAGATAGTAGATCTTTGACATATTTTATAAGCAATTAGGTTAGCGTTCTTGTCCGTTTATCTTATTATTATTATAGATTTATTTTTATTGTAAGATTCGATCCAGGTTAAAGCCTCTCTGGAAATTGATAAAACATTCTTTGGTTTATGATGCATCCAAGTGAATGAAATGTTCCTCACACTAATGCATTAAGCTTGTATCTAAGTTTCTGTACCACATTTGATAAGATTTTCAAAACAATTCATTTTTATAGAAATAAGTGCCACAGAAAGTCTGTATTTCATTACTGCATGCGATGTTATTTGTTTTTGAATTTTGTAAAGTTTCCGAGTTTTTTCCATTCCTTTATATATTTAAGCGTTTTAGACAAGCCCTGCATTTCTTTGTGTGATTTAAGAAAAATAATTTTAATATTTTTTGTTAGAATAGCTCTTTACAATATTTCTTTTTTTATTTGAATCAAGTAATTACTTTTTATATTGTGTGAATTCTTTCAGAATTCTTGCTTGTACATTCAGCTTGGCTGCTCCGTTTTAGTCTTGGGGAAAGAAAAAACTTCACAAAATCCTCAACAATCTCAAGTTAAATTCTTCCTATGATTCTTTATATTATTACCACTCTCAATACCTTGTTACTTCCACTCTCACACTGCATTTTAGATCACTAAAAATCCATAACAACGAAAAGAAAACCGTAATCTAAAAAACATCACCGATCCAAGCCACATTGAAAAAGCTGCACAATAAATCTCTTCACCACGTCACTCACAAACAAATCACAAATTACATACGGTAACATAAACCAAAGCACACACTCATGGAAAAAATCATTAGTTTTAAATATTTTTTAAAAAAATTGTGGTTCTCTAATAAGTCTATCTTTGCTCAGCTAAACTTTCATCTTGATAAAAAATTTTGGATATCTTAATTTTTAAAAAAAATGAAAAAGTTAGGTTGGTGTGGGGATTGTTTTCTCAATACAAAACATGAAAAACGATTTGATGGTGTTTGTTAGTTAATCATTGTACTTTCCAAGGAACTTTAACGTTTTCCTGCTACTACATCTAACCACTATTTAATAGCTTTTATATTTGTTGTTGTTTTTTAAAACAGGTTTTTATCACAGAGTTAGGCACATCATTATGTTATGATTCTTCTAGTAAAGAAACTGTGATGTTTTGTTTGTGTATCGCATACAACAGGTCTAGATTTTGGTCCTGTCATGTAGGACATGTCTTGTACTGAGTTTATGTTGCCATTGATTTATCTCGAGATATATGTTTAAAGTTTCAAATAGCCAAACGAGATGAGCTTTTTTTTTTCTAAATCATATATAATATCCCATCTGTCAAAAGCTTGCTCCTTGTCAGCATTAGGTGACATGTAAATGAGGATAATACAGATCTGAACCTATACATTGTCATAAACAATCTTTCTATTTTAGTTACATTAATCATTTATCAAAGTAATCATTAAACAATTACTAAGTAATTTTTTCTAGATAATCTATAGATTTTCTTGCATTTTAAATAATACTTAGATACATGTTTACCACCTAATGTATAAGCGTAGCCGGCGTTTTTAAAATAATTTTATGATACTAATTTTCCTAGATGTGCATAGTTTAATATCTAGATATGTAACCCATTGCTCCCATTATTCAACTGGTTTTATAAGACTTTAAAATGAATGATAGTTCATTTTAATTTTAAAAAATTTTTTTAATCCTGGAAAAAAAAAATAATTTATATATACCGGTATATATATTTATATGTATTTAAAGTGAAATATAATTATAAAGTTATTTTTTTCTTTTCATCAGCTGAAAGAGTTGTTTTTACCCAATGAGCAAGATCTTGATGTGTTTGACGTCATCATACGTTTTCCCAACGGACAAATAGATGTATTAAGTGATGAAGAGGAATTTGGGGCAGATCGACTCTCTACTTGTGAGAAAGTTTGCATTGTACCAGCTGGGTTCGTACTGTCATAGTTTTCAAAGTGATCATTGTACCAGCTGGGTTCGTACTGTCATAGTTTTCAAAGTTATCATTGTACCAGCTGGGTTCGTACTGTCATAGTTTTCAAAGTTATCATTGTACCAGCTGGGTTCATACTGTCATAGTTTTCAAAGTGATCATTGTACCAGCTGGATTCGTACTGTCATAGTTTTCAAAGTTATCATTGTACCTGTAGTCAAATATATTCTTAATCGGACATAACGAGCTAACAGGTGGTAAATTAAAATATAGTTTAAAGAGAAATGTTATGTTTGTATCCAGACCACGTTAGATCTTATTGTTCAGCTAGTATTTATTTGGTCGGTCTATTTAGGCATGAGTGTAAAAATCAACTATTTATATTTTCGTATGTTGTTCATTTTAATATTTGTTCACACATTTCTTTTTAACTCAACACTTTTACTTTTTAAAAAAAAATTATGAAGTATGCATTTCACAGACTAGAGAGTACATAATAGACACAAATTATTTAAATGTCTTGAATTTAAAGCCGGTATAAAAGTAATCATGACATATTTTTTAAAATGATAAATACGAGTTTTAATTTTGCCGTAATAAATCGATGTTTAACAATAAATAAAATGCAAGTGTCTGAGCGAAGTATTGCTGTTTCAAAATGTCTAAAATTGGGGTCAATTAATTTTCTGATCTTTAGGAAAAAAAAGTCTTTCTTTATAAATTAACCTATATTTATTTATAATTTTTTATCATTTTATTTTTGTCAGGAGTGTAGCTCAGCAAGGGCCACAATTACAAGATGTCGATGCCGCTGTCCATCTTCATGACTAGAGTTGACAATAACATTGACCGACCCACACCGAGATTCGTCAATATCTTCCTTCCCGAACTATTATGTAGCTCTCTACATAACACAATTGATGTATATTAATTATAAAATATATTGATTAACATTCATTGAAGTTGATTTGACGTACCCTGATTAAACTACAGAAACATAAGATGTCCATTTGAGCATTAGGGAAAATCAATTTGTTTTTATTCTTTTATTTTTTATTTAATGCCCCTGATACAAATACTGAGAATTCTTTTCTAGGAAAAAAAATTTCATTTTTGAAATTAATAAGATTAACAGGTATTTAAGTGCTAGTCAGTTTTTACCAGTGTTAATACACTTAAAGAAAATGTTTAGAAAAAATTGTTTAATGTTATTTTGATTATTATTAAGTTTGAAATTAAAATAAACCATCATTTGTTGTTTCAAGTCATAAAAAATATTGAAAAACAGTTTAAAAAAAACACGCTTTTTCTTATAAAAATGGATTACAAAGTATAAAATAAATAATAATAATAATAAAGTTCATTTCAAAAACACGCTTCATCCCCAAAGGCTCGAAGCGCGGTACAAAGTCAAAAAAAAAACATTTAAAACAAACGCAACACGACAAAAACTAAGTACAAGCATACAATGGCAAAGTCTTTCTAGCCATTTCAACCATAAGCAACACAGCCATTATGCATTAACTGGAAAATAATGTTGACAATCATCCCAGAAGGTGTTTGCGAAATAGATGTGTCTTTAAATCGGTTTTAAAGGACTCCAGTGTCTGGTTGTTTCTGAGATCGACAGGAAGGGCATTCCAAATTGGTGGACCAGCAAATGCGAAAGTGCGCTTTCCGTAAGTCTCAAGGCAAACACGTGGTGTCGAGAGTTTGCCACTATCGGATGAGCGGAGCTCTCTAGTGGGTACATAAGGCGTCAGCAGCTCTTTCAGATAGGACGGCGCCAGGTCATGTAAGCAGCGGTAGCACAAAGTTGCTATTTTGTACTCCATGCGAGCACGCACTGGCAGCCAGTGCAGCTCTCTCAGAAGTGTTTTTGCATGGTCAAACTTGCGTTTGCGGAGAACAATGCGAGCCGCATTATTCTGTGCTATTTGAATTTTATCCAGGAGCGTAGCTGGAAGACCCACCATAAGAGCATTGCAATAGTCCATGCGTGATAGCACAAATGCAGACATCAGCCTCTTTGTTGCATCAATTGTTAGGAAGGGCCTGATGTGACTAATCCTGCGCAGCTCTAGAAAAATCGCCTTGCATAGCATGTTAATATGACTTTCAAAAGTTAGTCTTCCATCTAGGTAGACACCCAGGTACCGCACTGTTTGAGCTAACTCAATACGCACACCTGAGAGAGTAATGGATGTCGTGTTATTTGCAGATTTTTGCTTCTGAGCGGTCGCGATGGGGAGCAGCTCAGTCTTATCATCATTTAATTTGAGCTTGTTTATCGTCATCCAGTGCTTAACCGACTCCATTGTCTTCTGTGTCATACTGAGCAGCTGAGGGAACTGAGAAGGGATCACGGATTGTCCCTTAAATGCTCAGAGTTGTTAAAGTCATTTGACTAACAAGAGGTGGGCGCCTTTGAACTTAATGTATTTTATAATTTGTAAGGAAATGCACGAAGCGGTATCTCTAATTTTATTCCACTTGTCAAGATCAGGGTCGCTGTGAGCATACAACAGTAGTGTCAGACAGATATGTGTAGTCATTTTTCCAAGATTTTTAAATAATCTGTATCATAATAATTGTGTCACATAATACTCACTTTCAGTGATTACAAACGCATACATGTGTCCAACATTGTATTTGACAAGTCATATAACATCATTTTATTTCATGGGCGTCACACACTTTGTTTGGTCATGTGACAGTAACAACTCTGAAGTTTTGGAGGAACTTTTTTTTTAATACATTTGTTTGTTTCTTTTAAAGAAAAGCAAGTTATTTTTTAAAAAGTTTTATTTTTTAAAAAATATATTTTTATTTAGTCATTTCTAGAAGTATTCGGAGATAAGACAGTGTGTTGTAAAATGTAACTAAAAAATTAGTGTGATGCCATTGAAATATAAAAAACGTGTTGACCTTTCTGTTGTAAGAAATGTGTTCATCATCGTTGAATGTTGACCAGAACGAGTGATCAATCATATGGAAACGCCATAGTGAAGACAAGAAATTCCTATCTTTCCGTCCTTGAGTTAACCACAGAAGGTCACTCAAAAGTCAGTAAATATCACTGGTTCCAATTCATCAATTTTGGCAATTTTCATAAATATTCATGTGTATCAAAGTGTCTCTATTAATAAATAAAATTAAAATTCTAAATGCAACTTGAATATTTCCTTGTTAATGGGTATGTTATGAGGAGTTGAATTTTATGTCTATTTCATATTGAAAAAAAAACAACAAACTATTGTACTATGAATATGCGAGTTATTTCTTCAACTACTAGCAATTCAGGCCGGGTAATGCTCCATTGGTCTATAGGACCCTTTTATAGGCCAGGCTTCTTGTCACCATAATCTAATCTACTGATATGCCTAGATCAAATTTCTTTAAAGAATAGTTTGACCATTTCAGGATAAGAGTTTCTAAGACTATTCTATCATTGGCGGCTTGCAGATTATCAAAATTATAAATCTTGTTATATTTTTATTCAAATTCTTGTTCTATATTTTGAGGCCCACGATCAATGCATTGATCATTCTGGCTCCAGTAAATTTTTAAATACAGTTCTTAAATAAATTTACCTCCTGACCTTTACTATTTGATACTTCTAATAGGCTAATGCCTATTTTTTTATCACCAGCCTATGTGAAAACAAAAATCATGTGAAAATTTAAAAAAAAATTATTTAAAAAAAAAAAGTAATTAAAATATTTGAAAGTTTAAACTATTCATGCAGATGAGACAGTTAAACTATCATTTTAATTGTAGGAATGCAATTTTCAATACTTGCAGACAAAAAGAAGTTGATCAGATTTACAACGTAGCCCTCCATTAACATGTAAAATAATGCATGTATCACAATTAAAAATAGTTTGAGAACTTGTTCAGGCATCGGGTTGAAATGGCTGGATGAAATCAATAGAAGGTCATAACATTTAATTCACAGGGCATCTCTTTGACGAGAAGCTCATGCAGACGAATCCAAGGAAACCCCACAAATAGCTTGCACAGAGTAGATACCTTAGTTGTCACGATATTCACTGGTAGCGGCAGTGTAAGAGTTAACACGTATCAGAAGATCGTTTTTGGTCGCGCCACACACGATTTACATCGTAAAAAAAAAAAATTAAAAAAAAACTACAAATAACTGATCATATTGTTCGTAATGAGTTTTCTTCTTTTACTAAAGTATAATAACGGTATATGTAACAGTTTAAAGTGGTTGTATCTAGCAGGTTTTTATAAAATTTAAAACAAAAACATTTCTTCTAATGTTAAAATGTTGCTGTCCTACAGTATATAAAATAAACATGCAAAATACCATACACATGCAGAATAGCAACACATTGAAGTTGTACAGTGTTTAAACTGCCATGTTTTTTTTGGTTTAGTTTGATTTTAAAAAAGAAAAATTATATAATAAAGGAATTCAATTAATTCTCTGATGAGGGTCAAGTAGGGGGACCAGCTTAGTTCGTCTTTATGACTTTGTGATGCCGGCAATGAACTCAATCTGTTGAATACTTCATACATAATATACTACTATGTTAAGCCCTCCTGACCAATGGGAACACGATCTGCAAATTTTCCAACGTCCCCTATTGCATCTTTTTATTAATGACATTAATCATATAGTACAAAGCACTACACTAGATAAAACGTGTCGATATAGCAGCGAAGTAGTTGAGAGTAGGCCTATATGCATATCAGAACTAAATAAAAACAAGTTTATAACTATGATCTTTGACGGGAACCAAACTAAATGAAAAAAACCCCCACAAATTTCAATGATGTCATAAATAGAACTAAATGTGAAAGTTCTTTATAATTTATAGTAGTTGTGCTTCCATTTGAAAAATGTAAGAGAAAAGCAGAATAATGATTTACAAATTACAATTAATTATGAATCGTAAAAGAGAAGCTGTTCTGAATTTATGTGTTTTTTTTTTTTTTGTCGTTATGGAAATGTTGAAACAATATTGTAAGATTGATAACATTTTCAGATACTCTCCAACTCCAAATTTTAAATTGAATTTTGTTTTTACTATCCGTTGAATGGCGCTGGTTGATTATGGCTATGGTGGACACAATAGAAAAGCTATTTTCGCTTGATAAATTTAGATTTCATGTTAAGATCTTTTGGATTTATTAATTTAGATTACAAGTGCTCATCTTTTGGGGCTTTTAAAAAACGTATAGATAATGTAACAGAAGCAAAAAATACAACAACAAAAAAAAAACAACCCCACCTCATCACCAATTTCTCTGCGTTAGCTTTTATGTATTGCTATTTAGCTTAACAACATAATAGTTTACTTAACAACGATAAAATATTACCAATATAATATTAACAATGAACTTGACAAAACACTCATGGAATACCGTGGCATTTTATTGCAATTTCGCACATGAAAATAACTTTGTTGCAACTTGCATCATTTTTGCCAAAAGTAATATCTTACCAGCCAGTATCCATATTATATTTTTTTAATAAAATACCCATTATGCCTTGGTTTCAGGTGCATTTCGCCTAGACTTCAGTTTCGTTTCTCTTCAAGGCATGGTGGATGACACCGTCAACCTCTTCAGACCTCCTGATATCAAATTTGAAATCATCATTGTCTATGTCTAAGTCATCGCCTAAAAGGAAATAAATAGTTTAAAGAAGAAAAAAAAAATCAAATCCCATTAATTTTCGCCTAGACTTCAGATTCGTTTCTCCTCAAGGCATGGTGTGACGCAGGTTTTGCTTGTCAAATGCCATGGGGGGTCGAGAATCATGAGAAACCACAAATTAGAATAGGTGTTTTTTCTTTAAATAAGATATTCTCCTCAATTCATGTCAACCCATTTAGCTCACGTAGTTTTGTCTTGAGCCAACGCTAAGGGGAACCAGCTCCCCTTCCATATACGTCATAGTGAAACCTCGTACATTTTCAAAAAGTCCCTTAAAACTCATCTGTTTAGGTCCGCCCATGACCTGTGATGCACCCTCCTTGCCCTACCTCATTTTCTGTTTCGGGTTGATCCTGAAGTGTCAAAGTGTCCTCGTTTTATAGTCATTTTCATTGTTTCTATAAAATAGTAGTTACTATCCTAGTATCTCATTTGTATTTACTTAGTTTACATGTTTTAATAATTGTAAAGCGCTTAGAGCTTTATGATAAGCGCTATATAAAAATGCCTAAATAAATAAATAAATAAATAAAGGAAACCAACTAGATTTGTCACAAGGTTGCACTTAGATTACGCTCAGTTAACTCAATTACATACACTTCAACATTTACCAGCAATGCAGTGCATATACAAAACAGATCTTTGTCATCAAAATATAACGGATATGCAAAAGGTTTTTAAAATATCATTGTTTATGCGAAGAATCTCACATATTCTCTAAGGTTTTATTTTTATTAATATTTCTGAATAATTTATATTTTTTCCTTCAAAAATAAATTAATGATAGAGATTACAATGAAATTATTTTTAAATATATATTATTATTATTATTGATTATTAAATTTTCTTATTGAGTTATAAATTGAGAAATTGAATTAATTATGTATTTAAAGCATGCTTATTTTTTTTTGAAATAGTAAAATAGCAACTTGCAAAGGTTATTTGTAGCATGTGCCAAGTCAACATATTATGTTGTTCGTCCGTCCAAGATGGACAAGAACCATCGAGTCGTCCGGTGACTGATGACTTGCGCGGGTGATTTTTGTTTAAAGAGAGGAAGAGTTTGCGCGGCGTCAGCCTCACTCTCTCGTCCGGGCCCAACATATCCAGTGGCAAGACTCTACGTCAAGACGACCAGGGATGGGTACTGTTGCAGGAATTGTCATTGTATGCGCCTTACGGGACTCCAACTCCGTGTTTGAATTAAGAGTTTTCTCCTCTTAGATGAGTTGCCGACCAAGGTCATCGAGTCTCATTCACCCGGCAAGTCACCATAAACTTTGTTTCAAAGTCATTTTTTAAAAAAAATAATCCTAAATTTTAATTTATAATCATTCTTTCATCTCTTCGTCGTTAAAAAACTAATCCCCATTTTGATTGGGTTATATCTATGTCATTGAGGTTTTTATTTTTTGGATAAGCTATATTTGAACGAGAATAGTAATTATTTTCATTATTACCTCGATACTTAAACGACCTTCCCATAAAACTCCTGAAAAAAGGATAACTTTTGAGAAAACGACTTATCGTTCATTACAATTTATATAACTTGTTTTCTTACGGTTTCATAGTATAGGGGCACTTTTTATAACGTTTTGACAGTATACGGGTACTTCTTGTATACGTTTTGACAGTTTTCAGGCACTTCTTATATACGGTTTAACAGTATACAGACACTTCTTTAATACGTTTTGACAATATGTTGGCACATCTTATAAAGTTTTAACAGTAAACAGGGACCTCTTATGTACGTTTTGACAGTCTACAGGCAGCTCTTATATAAGTTTTGACAGTTTACAGGCAGCTCTTATATAAGTTTTGACAGTTAACAGGCAGCTCTCATATAATATACGTTTTGACAGTTTACAGGCAGCTCTTATATAAGTTTGAAAAATATAAATAAGTTTTTACTTACGTTTTGACAGAAAAAAAAAAGCTAAGACGGCAATGAGAGGCAAACAGATCCCCAGTCCGACGTATGACGAGATCTGAAGCAAATTCAATGTACGGGGATCCTTCTCTGTGGACATTATCATATGTTTAAAGATTCTCTTTTTGTTTTAAATATGAGCACATCAAACAATACAACTCAACGATGTACACCGTTTTCACTGTTGACATCTTTGGAGACTTAGTGGCACTCGAGTCTTGTGGAGTGTTGAAAACGAGCGTTGAAATGCAATGTTGACAACTATTTTACAGGTAGCAACAAAAGCTGTGTGAAATTATGACACTAGTGATTGTTAAACGTAGGCAAGTTAAACGTTTGATCAAAAAAAACGTGGGCTATACTTTCATATGATCATATTTATATACAGATTATAGAATCATATCTAGAATGGGGACATATGATTGGGATCAAAGAGTCATTGTCATATCAATACAAAAAAGAATAATAATAATAATGATGTCATTAAAATATTGTTAATGAATGAATGCTAAAATCGATTTCCAAATGTTGTTCTAAGTCTAGAATATGTTTAAATATCGGTGTTTAAAATGTAAGTT